TCGTCAGTTGGTTCCTTAGATATGGTAAAAATGTAAAATTGGCCCTAGTAAAACTTCAGTTTCCGAAACTTGATATTTTCAAAAATTTTACAAGTTCATTATTTCAAGGAAATTTCAAGGAAATCTGCCCGTAGTAAAAATTCAGCTCCCAAGACCTGACATATAAACCAGAAAATCTGTTCAGCCGAACTTGAAATTCCCGATTGGACACACAACCCTGACGGGAAGACCCACATCTTTCTAAAAATAGTTTATATTTGTTTCCCTACTACGTAGAAGAGCGTTCCTACCGAAAACGGGAAATCCAAAATTTGGTGCCATCATATAGTCTTCCTTATTTTTTGCAGTTTGGTCGGTAATATAAATCACTTCCATTCAATTTGTTCGATTATTAATATTAAAGATTTTAAATGGTAATAAATTTTAAATAACAACTTTTAAAAGACCCGTAAAATCTAACCAATCAATTGAAAAACTGAATTAAGAATAATAAATTATAATTTAGGGAAGAGAATGAATAAAACATTTCTATATACTCGTGCATAGTTACGTAGCATATTAAGTAGTAGTGTTAAATCTGTTATATTAAAGAATATATAGATTTAGTATTTAATAAATTAAAGTTTCCTTATGTATAAATAATATTATAATCACCTTCTATCTCTTACATACATGCTTAAATTTTTCTTTGGAAGACAAAATCTTATAATTAAATGATTTATTATATAGGGTTGGACATGGATATTGTAAAATTTATATACACACGCTTACATAAAAATGTAAAGGTTCTTAAAAATTTTCTTTAACAAATTTACAAGAAATTTGGATTCGATATCCCAATTTTATTATACTTAAAATAATTCTTTAATTAGTAAACGTTTTCATTCCCATTTAATTTTTGTTTTGATGAAAAAGGTTAAAATAACTTTTTTATATTTAATAATGGGAGTGCCATAACAGGGAGTGTTATGAAAATAAGCCTTATAGAGGTATAAATTCTACTGTTATAACAGTGCTGTTGTGTCGTTTATTTATCTGGTAATGTATTTAAACTGTAATATTGTCGACTGTATTTAATGGAAATCGAAAACTAAGTTAGGACAACATACGAGGGCTGTCCCAGAAGTAAGTAGCCTAACCAAGAAAACACAAAAATTTTGAAAAAAAAAATAAGCCTGGCAGAAAGCCCTATCATTTTAAGGATTAACTTTCACACTTTTATTTTATTTTGTTTTTTCTTTTCAGATTACCGACTATTAATAGTGAAGCTTTTCAGTAAATTTTTAATATGGATAAAATTGATCAGCGTTATGTCATTTAATATTTTTATTTGAAATGTCTTAGTCCAGCCGGTATCAAAAGTGAACTAGATTCTACACTAGGGGAGTCTGGTCCCTCATATGCAATGATTAAAAATTGAGTAGCGCAGTTTAAACGTGGTCGTACGAGCTGTGAAGATGAACGTCGCACTGGTCGACCAAATGAGGTCACCACGCCAGAATAGGCTACTTAATTCTGGGACAGCCCTCGTAGTTCCATAAGTACATGGTAATGAATTCTGAAATTCCCTGGTACCTCATTTCACCTTTTAAGATAGTTGACAATTAACATTCTATTATTTTTGTTATCAACTTCGAATCAACTTGATTCGCTCAGTGTATTTTATTTATATTTGATTTTGTTTCGTGAGAGAGCTGGATAGGCTTTTGTAATTTGGACGTATGTATTGAAAATGAACTCTCCAAAGTGAATGACATTTCCTGTTTAGCGATTATAAATGAGCGAGCACTCTGTTTACCTTTGATTTAGTACATCAGTAGGTAAGAGTTTTGGGACAGTGTGTTGCAAATTCTAGGGCGCTTGCAATTTCGCCCATTTTTTCTAAAATTTCTAATGAAAAAACACTTTGTAGTAATCGCAGTATTACCGTTATTCATTAACTTGAATTCACTCTGTATCGAATTTAATTTGTATCGCAAACTAATTTTACCAAAATATTAGAAAAAAACCTTACAATTCACATTTCTTAAATATTCTTTTAAAAATATTGACCTATAATAATTAGTTAATATTAAATGGAACACACCATTCAAATAAATTCCATATATGTATGTACGAGTACGAGTATATATGAAGATTTCTGTATATATTCCAGAGTGAAACTAATCAGTTAATAACATTTTGTAGATAAAGGTACGTGACTTTTACGAAAATAGAGAAAAACTTCATTATTCTATTATACAAGAATTTTCCCTTCTTTTCTATTGTTCTTGTTTATTATAACTTTTATATATCCTTATTATCCTGTATATTAAATAACCGTATATGTATAACAAAAGTTAAATTTCGAGCTTCTTTTAATATTTTTTATATAGACCTAATAAAGTATGTTAAATATTTGGAATATGTGATTCAATACCTTATGTTCTTATGTAGGAGATTGTAAATTTCAGAAGAGAAGAATACGGGAAAGAAGCTGTTTCACCTCCTACCAACTGCTGCAACCCATTCCAGTGTAGTACATAAAATGAAATACAAAATCCTAAAAGAAATCTGTGGCAAAAAATAAAATTCTTTAAACATCTTACTTATATCCTTTTATTGGAAAATATTTTGGTTTTCTAAAAAAAAATTATATTTTTTCTCTGGTTTTGTTTGTTTTCCTTGTTGTTTTTCTACTGAAAACCTCAAATCAAATAAAATATAAAAACATAAAACAAAAATCAGGAACATAAAATAAAAATGTATTGGGTATATGGCACATATGTTTGATAAATTCAAGTTTTCTCTTTTTTTATCCTTTTAAATTCACTGTCCATCATTTTTATCATCATTTATAAAATTATGTCACCTGATGATTTTCTTTATATATACTCGATTCCGTTAAAAGCCTTTGTATATAGAAGCTATATATATTGAAAAATATTGAAAAAGTATAACACAGAAGGTATACACCTATGTGTGTTACATTTAGATTGTGTTTTCAATGAGCACGACAGTATTTTTAGCTTGCGAGTACAATGAACTATGTTCATAACATTTTCTCTTTCATTATTATAGTTTAATTCAGTTTTTCGCAACCTATTTAATTGTAAATGACATGGTGTATATAATATATAGAAAATATATTAAACCTTATGTCGGGCGCCATTTTCTGTTTCAGGTTTAATATGGTGTAAATGACGAAAAGTTGTATCAATTTCTGGTATAGCAGTACGTATCTGACTGCCTGTCCAGGATTTCAACTTGGGATACATCATGTGCACCCAGGAGTTGCTGAAAGCTACCTTAGAAAAAATTTCGAAAACCTATGAAATTTTTTGAAAATTCTTAAATTTTCTAGGTTTTATTTACAAAATTGAATCACACTCATATTTTTTCAGTCATTTTCAATTTTTCGTTATTGTTTTGACTTCAGTAACCAATGACTTTCAATACTATCCGACCGTTGTGCCTTCCAATGTAATCCGACATTTATAGATTTCCATATATTTGTGTTTTATAAGTAGGTTTTCATTGAGCTTCATTGAACAAAATACGAAATAGGTAGTATTTGAGGATAAAAATAACTTAATTGGGTAATAATTATGACGTCACCGACAAGTTTCAACAAATATGGATAAAGCTTTAATTATTTAGCTGTACTTTAGAATATAACTGTATCCATACACTTGTAACTATAAAAACATGCCATTTATATAGAAAGCTTTATAATTAAGTAGAAATGGAAAGCTTTGTAGTTAACGAAAATGGCAACACTGCGTGTAGAAAATTTAAATTTAATTTCCTATTTTAGGTAACCACAAAAAGCTCTCAATTTAAAAATATTGAAGAGAAAATATTTCAAGGATGATATTCTAAGAATTTTTTTTATAAGACGGCCCTAGATAAAATACAAGTTATTGAAAACTATTGATTCGTAGCAAAGTATAGTCCAACCCCGCTACTTGAACATTTTATAACTTGAAGTTATTCTCTTTAATTTTACGTTCTCAAACATTACCTTACTCGAAATTTTACGTTTCCAAATTTACTCAATGATATTTCCAGTTCTCAGTGTGAAAGCTCCACTGTAATATTGCAAGGGGCTAGATTAGCTTTGGTCAAAGGCGTGAAAGATAATAGTTACGCATTTTGTCCTAAGAGAAATCTTTTGTGTAAAATTTCCTATGACCTCAATAGAAACCTCAATTATGAGTGACTCCTGAGTTATTAAACCAAAATTACTGCAAATTATATTGCTTTTCCAATTTTTTGAAAGTGACGGCCACTTTATATACGTAAAACCTCAATATCACGTAATATTATATTTCTTTTATGGAATATTAAATAGACCATATATTACAATTATTTAAATATAAAAGACCATCGGTATACAAAAGAAAAATTTATCAAAGGAAAATCAAACTATTCAAATAGAATTTCAAAAAAAGAATTCTCTTATTCAATAGATAAAATCAATAAAAAATTGTGTCATTCGAAATCGTTAATGCATGCAGCATGTTAAAATAAAAATATTATATTTTTCTCACAATGGCACGATTATTAACAATTAGGTCGTCTGATGCTTCTGCACTAATAAAAACTTTTTCAAAAACACTATCCAATGCCATACAAAGGATATTTCATTAAGATGAAAGATAAAAGATTAGAATGCCTCAAAATTTCATTGTGTATCTGGAAGAGTTAAGATTGTATTAGTGTCGCTACAGTATCACTTAGACATAGCGGAAATTCAATGTACCAGAACTTTTTCCGTATGAGAGTTGCCTATGGTTTAAAATTGTGAGAATTAAATTAAACATTGCTTAGAATATTATGAGAAAGGCACATTTTTCACAAAGTTTCATAAAGAATCCTGCGAAAAATTGCTTCAGACACTGTAGATTATTGGAAAATTCCTGCAAATTCCAAACTTGATTCACTTGGACTGCATAAATACTAACACAAATTTCATATTCATATAATTTATTCTTATTATTTTTGTTTTTTTTTTTTAAAGTATTTAAATTTTCTAAAATGATCGATTAATAAATATCTTGTATTTTTTGACTCCTTCTTTATCGGCCTGGATTTTTAATATTATTTCGGTTATAATGTAAATTTTGATGGGGTTTTATTTAAAAGTTCTTAGATATTAACACTTTTTATTACAATTACTGTTAGTTGATGGATTAGTATTATTACTATTACCACCACTATTATTGCACATATTAACACCAGATGCGACTTGTGTCAATTGATGATGATTACTTTGATTTGGAATACATTTTTCGGTAACAGTTTCTTCAGTTTTTTTAACGAACACAGTAACAATTTCTTCCACGAATTGTGATGGCGGTGGAGCATAATTTTCGACATCTGCATAAGTTGAATAACGTCCATATGGTGGATTTTTACGTGTTAATGATTGCAACTGTTGTTGCTGTTGTTGATGACTAGTATTACTTGTTTCATTAGTACCGTTATTTTCTTTTGTATTACTAGCCGAAGATGAATTAGTAATACTACCCGTATTACTATTATTTGAATCTCTACTTCCAATTTGAATTTTTAATGCTGGTTTTGGACCTACAGTATCCAAATAACCATATCCGAATCCATAGCCACCAAATGCTTTTGTCGTCAAATTATCCCATGATTTAGGTTTACTAACACAAACTGGTGTCTGATAAATCTGATGAATTGGCTGAATCTGAGCTGGTCTTAAGCATGCTGTATAACGTTGTTGATAAATTGTGCTTCCCTGCTGAGTAAACTGATGACTTTTCTGACCTGATGCTTGAGTAATTTGCATTTGGTGTTGTGCATTTTGACCGCTACCTTGTTGTTGAAGAGTGGATTGACGGGATTTAGTAGAAGGTTGCCGTGAGTTTCCTTCACTTTGGGGATCCCAATATAATGTATCAGTACTTAAAGATGTTGTGTATGATGCAGAATCGCCTGGAACAAAATCGCTAGACGTACAGCTATGTAAACTGCAGTGACTAGCCAAATTTGCTGATAAATTAAAATACTTAGATCTTGATGAATTTGATGCAACAGAATGTTGATTTTGTAAACATTGATGTTGTTGTTGTTGCGTTGGTTGTGGCTGTGAACTATTACTTGGTTGTACATGATGATGATGATGATGATGGTGAGTAGATGTTGGATTGTTTCCGCCAGTAGTAGTTCCACTAGTACCGGTAACATCTGGAGAAGCATGTGATTGTGATCTAGGTCTTTGACGTTCTTTACCATCTTTGTCACGATGTTTATGCTTATGGTGATGATGATGATGTTCTTTCGAATTTCTAGAACGACGTCTAGTTGGCACACAATGAGCAGCACAGCACGGACTACTGGCTAAATCATAAGCATCTAAGCTTGTGTTATCTTCACCGCCATTAGCTTTATCAAATGATTTTCTTCGGCCTAAGCAAGGGTTACAAGAATGACCATGGCAGTGTTGTTTAACAGATGATTTACGATTGGAAGAATTTCTATTAGAATGATCATGTTTCAATTTCACAGATGGATCTTCATTTTGTTGCATTATAGCAGAATTTGAAGAAACTGTAGCATGATCACACGTACTACATGGTGGGATTTGTATTTGTTGTTGCTGTTGTGGTTGTTTTGTTGTTTGTTGTGATTGAAATGCTTGATGCATTATTCTATCATTTGTTTGATGATCAATATTTCGAAAGATGTCAGCTCCATCTCTCGTTAAAATATAATGACATTCCGTTGGACTTCTTTGCGGTCCAACACTAATAAAATATTCACCACTACTATTAGATGTGGATGGTTTAAGAACATAACGATAATGAGGATCAATATACTGATATGTGACAATATATTGATCTGATGGTTGTTGAACTACAACTTGTTGTTGATCTCCTGATTGTGGCTGTTGTCTACGTTGTTGTTGTTGTATTAAAAGTTGTTGAGTTCTAGAATTACCAACGTTTACAACATCTTCAGTAGATATTGCTGGCCTATATAAAATTGGCAACTGAACTTCATCTTCATTCGTTGTTTCATTATCTTGTATAGAACCAGTTGATATTCCTGCTACTGTACCTTTTTTACGTGCTGGTAAACTGTGTGTTTTCCATTTTCCAGATAATAACTGACGTTCTTGTAAACATGCTTTTTCTAATTCACTAATTTTATCTTGTAATTTATTCTGTAAATGAATATAACGCATATGAAGAGCAACCTAAAAATAAATAATGTTAATGTTTAATGCCGTTTCTTCGGATCACTTCATTTATTATACAGATTTTTTTCTTACCTTTCTAACACAATCTTCGAAAAGTACAACCATTCGCATTCTATTATCACATTTTTTAATTATTTCAACTAAAGTCTTATGATCAGCCTTTTCCATATCAATACCATTAATTGATAATATAACATCACCTTCACGCATTCCAGCTCTATATGCAGGACCATCATATTCAACTGAATCAACATATGTAATCATTTCAATTTCCTGCTCTTTTCGATAATGAATGCCATAAGTTTGCAATGTAAATCCATAACTATTTTTTTTCTTTTCAATAATGATTGTCCTTCGACGCCTATCCTCTTCTGGTTGTGTTGCTGTAGCATTTCGATCTGATTTGATTCGTTCCAAAGATTGAGTTTGGATTGCCTAAAAAAATTTAAAATAAAGTAATTTATCTATATTAATTAAGAATATTTCATATTTAAAAATTCTGATATGATTTTTATTCCTCTAACACAGAAAAAGGTTTGGCGCCAATACGAACGAAATATTTTGTGAAAAAAATGTAAGAGGAAATATGAGAAATTTCCTTCCAAAAATAAATTAACCGATAAATAATAGTATCTTTTGCAAAAAATTTTTTCATTGTAAAGCCTCCATCTTGTGGAACATACAATGGAAACCGTCGATGATTGAAATAAATAACAACTGAGTAAAAGAGATCAGTTAAGGCTTATTATTGTGGTTTGAAATACTTAGAATGAAATTACAATTCGATCTATCCTATCATTGCCTTCCTTTCCTAATTCATTGCCTTAGATACCTTCATATCTAGGGGAATTTGCTTCAACAACATTAATAAATCTACCTTTCCAATAACTCACAAATTGAAATTAATTTTTACAAACCCATATTTTTTAAACGTTTTCATTTAATGAGATTAAATTTGGTGTGATCATTAATTTTCCTTTTAATTTATTCACGAGATTTATTAAGGATACTCACACCAATATTTTCCTTTTCAGAAATAAAGGAAAAATTATTCATTTCGTTAGAAAAATCTTTCCTTTTTAAGGCTGACTTTCATCAAGCCTTAAAGAAAAAACAAAATATCCTTGTATTCTTTCTGTTTTTTTTTTTTTTGTTTTCTTGGCATTTATAGCTTCCTGAATGCTCTTTTGTATTTTTACTTTTTTTTCATTTTTCATATTTTAATAATTTATGAGTTCAAAAGAGTAAAGATTATCAAGACTATCATTTAATGCCAATCCCTTTAATAGTGTTCTTATTTTTTTTTTCTATTATTTGATTCGTCTCCTTCATACATGACATTTATATCCTTTTATCCTTATTATATTTTTGTTGACTTTTCATTCCTATTTCTTTCATTATTATTTCATATCCCCGCAGGATACTTTAACTATTTTTTATTTCCTTTCTTCTTATTTTGTTCCTATTTAGGTATAGGTACCTACCTATTTATTTTATGCATGCAAAGCTATTCAGATATTTTGTTCTTAATTTTATGAGTGAATGTCAAAATAAATGGTACAAATATTATAGAAGAATAAATAGGAGAATTGTTTTTTTTTTTAATTCTTCGATTTATCATATAGAAGAATAAGAATTTAGAATAGAGAATTTCTTTAAGAGAAATATATAAAAACAAAATGTAAATTAAAGATAAGAAAATTGAATGAAAAGCAAAAAGAAAAATGATTATTGTAATTTGAAACCAATTATTCTGCTGTTAATTTTTGGTATAAAGAAGTAGAGACGAATTAATATATTACAAAAATTTGAAGAAATGTAAACACCGGGCAAAATACCATATGATTTACGACGCAAGTTTCCCAAATTTCAAATATAAACTCTAATTTCAAATATAAACAACTATAGCCTTTGTTTCTCAATTATTGCTCCCAACTTTTGCCAAAAACATCAACTTTCTGTTATCAATTTCTGTGACATTGCATATTAATTTCTGTAACATTATGTCGGAGCTCTTTTATATCTAAAATACAACTGCAGTCGTCTATTTTTTTAGAAATTATGCGCTTAAGCTCATTAGGGGTAATTATGTGGATCTAAATCTTTGTCAGTTCTAGACTTAATACCAAATTAAATTGTACTATATTTTATAACCAATTGATTAAGTCATCTCGGAAATCTGGGAAATGATGTCAATATTTCTATATCATTCAACTAAAACTAATTTAAAAAAAATTTTCTATATTTTACAAATAGACATGATTTAATTAAAGGACCTAAGGAAAAAATTATTATTACGACCTTGTTTCATTAAATTGTATATAATTAACTCGTAAATTACCTGTATACCGTATATACTCTAAGCCCATTTCACTTATACAAGAAATTCTTTTTGATCATTATGCATATAACAGATTTATATAAATTAAGTGAACTGACCTATATTTTCTCTCTTTTATATTATTAAAATAATTTTTCTTATGATTCTTTTGACATTCTAGCTTTTCTAAATTATACAGGTTAAGATTTCTTTCAACAATTTTTCTTCATATATACTAGCATAGCACATATATATTTACATATTTATAACATTTTAGGTTATTTTTTTATCAACATTTTTTATGTTAAAATTTGCATATTTTTTTTTTTCCACATTTCTTTCACATGACATCTTTTTAAGGATTCAATGAGATTTATTCAAATTTATTTGTATAATTTATTGTCTATATTAAATTCCGGAAGAATTTATAATAGTACAGTGTTTATGTATAAGTAAGTGGGTTAGGAATCTTCTTCGAATAAATTTTATTTTGTCGTGACAATAAAATCTATAACACCACATATAGATAAAATATTGTAGTTGCAAACAATTACAAACAATATTATCAAATCCCATTTGGGGGAGAGGGAGACGATAGCAATAATAAAAATCTCATTATTTTTATTATAAAATGCGACAAATAAATTTTTAGAATTCATTATTCTAAATATAACAAAAAAGCCAAAATAGAAATTCACACGCAAAAGCAAATTTAATGAAATTAAGTCCTCAATTCCCTCAAGAAAAAATATCATAGTGGACGAATATAAAAGGACATTAACACTCTAACTAACCAGATTTTCTTTACGCAATGATAATTTAAATTGAAATTCTACTTATTCTACTTATTATGTGTATATATATGGATTTAGAATTTAACACAATTATATTATATAATCCAAATATAGAAAATAGAATATAAAAAAAAAACTATAATAAAAAGAAAATATAAAAAAGAATAATAGAATTAAAGTATTTATCAAGGATATTCCAAAATAATTATATAGATGGTATAGAATTCAATTACATTATATATATATATAGACGAATTTATAACAATATTATAAATATAAATAGAGAATTTTATAATAAAATTAATACGAGTAGCATATTTTACTTATTTTAATTGGTTTGTGTTATACCGGAAAGAATAAAGAGACTGAGTAAATGATAAGCGTTTATGGTGATTTGCATTTTCATTTTGTTATTCATTATTCAAGAATATGAAATTCGAACCAATAACAAAAAAAAAAGAAAAATACGAATGTGAAATTCTGTTATACAGATGTGATATTCTGCTATTCAAAGGTAAAATTCTGTTATACAGAGGTGAAATTCTGCTATTCAAATGTAAAATTCTGGTTAACAGGGGTGAAATTCTACTATTCAAAGGTAAAATTCTGTTATACAGAAGTAAAAAATTGTTATACGAGGGTCAAATTCTATTATACCGAGATGAAATTCTGATATTCAAAGGTAAAATTTTGTCATACAAAGATAATATTCTGTTATACAGGAGCGAATTCTTCTGCTATTCAGGGTAACATAATAAAATTTTTACCTCTGTTAAACAGAGGCAATATGCGGTTATACGAAGTTGAAATTATGTTATATAAGGTCAAAATTCCGATATTCAAAGATAAAATTTTGTTATACGAAAGTAATATTCTGTTATACAGGAGTGAATATTCTTCTGCTATTCAGGATAATATAATAAAATTTTATTATAAAGCTAGAATTGAACTTCATTTCAAGATTAAACACTGGTCGGACACTTATATATAACACTTTAAGTATATAACTTATTATATTCTCAAAAGCATATCTCCCTTTTCCATTTTAGACAGTTACTTAGTAATTCAATAATAAGAATATGTGCCCCCCTCACTCTGCTCTTGCATAATAAACGAATACAATTTCGCCTAAAAATATGCTAATATATTTTGTATATCAAATAAAATCATAATTTTACAATAAACTTTTATAAAAATTTTTATATGTATATAATGTATTGTGTACCTACCTTAACACCAATATCCAATTCATCATCACTACTTGCATCTGAACTTTTTTGTCTATGACGATAATCACGTCCTAAACTACCTGGTAAACTACCAGTTGTTGTTGTTGTATGATGAGTATTATTATTACTATTACTATTATTTATTGTATTATTATTATTTGTATTATTATTACTATTATTATTATTATTACTACTGCATCCTGGCACATTACACGTTTCCGAATCCATTATATTCTATATACATATACAGGTTAATCTCTCTTAATTTCTTTAATATTCTTTATAAAAAAAAATGAAGCACAGATTTCAAATATAATCATAGATTATTTATAAAATTTGATTTGGTATGGTTTTGCTCTCATCGGGTATATTGGAAAAAAAAGAGGAGCATATAAAATAAAATATTAAAGAACAAAATAATTCTGTTATCCTTGTTCCGTTTCCCTATTTTTTTCTTTTTATGTGTGTCTTCTGGTTTTCTTTGGAATATTTGATATTGGTTTTTTTTTTTTATATATTTTTTGGCATTTAACAAATTGCGGTTTTCTTTAGAAATTTTTTTTTTTTTCTTTCTATAATATTAAAAATCTCCCTCATACTACATATGTATGTATGTATGTAATACTATAATTTATGTATGCATAAATTTTGGTGTTTATATTATATCTCATTTATTTATTGTATGTATGTATGAATGTAATATTTTGCTTGGTACCCGCTCTCGTTCCGCTACTATAATTTTCTTCTTATTATTATTTTGTTCTTTATACTTATGTGTCATACTACTACTCTCTTATCACAGTTCTCATTTATTATTATTTTGTTGTTCTTAATGTTATTCTGCTCAATCTGGGTTTTTATATTTTTATTATTATTTTCTTTTAGTATTTCTTATTCGAATTTAGTTCTCTGTCTCTTCTTATAATAATATTTTTTTTTGCAAATATTTTTGTATTTATATATATTTATGTATATATATATTTCTTCATACATGTAATATTTATTCATTTGGGGTTATATAGGATTGCTGCTGTTTTGTCCTTTACATATTATATTCTCTTCTATGGTTGTAATATCGTAATATATAAAAGTTATACACGATAATATTTATATGGAGTACAAAGTAGGTATAGAAGTTTGTATACGTTGATTAGGAGATTGACATAGAAAAAAATATTTAAGAAAATGTTAAAACAAAAAAAAAAGGAGTATGTATGTCCTTCTTTTAGAGTATGTGGTATGAAAATTTATAATATGAAAATTTTCTTATATTCTATGGGTTTGTTTGTTTTTTTGTTGCTGTTTTTGTGTTTTTTGCAATATTTTCTCTCCTTTTCTTTTCGTTTTTGTTTTATAGCCTTGTTGTTTTTGCTTCTAATTTATCTTGTTCTTTTACTTTCTTGTTGCTTCTTTTTTTTTTGTTTTAATACTGGTTTTGTTATTATTATTATTGTTGTTGCTGTTGCTGGTTGGTGTTTTTATTATTGTAATTCTACATATTTTGTATTACATGTTGTCGTTTTATTTTTTGCCAATTTTACATTTGTTATACAAAGGAGTATAATAATTTTATATATATATATATATTTTACGTTTGATTCTTATTTCATATTCCTTTTAATTTATATATATATATATATATATATATATATATATATATATATTGATTTTTACATTTGATATTTCATATATCCTTTCTCCCTCTCTATATATATAAAGGTTATATATGTATATATATATATGACATATTATACCTTCAATATTAAAAATAATGCATACACAGCAATAAAATACAAAAAAAAAAAAATTCAAATTTAAAAGCAAAATTTTATAATATTATGATATTATAAAATATATCAAATATAACAAATAATTTTTTTTTTTTTTTCAAAATAATTTTTAGTATTTTCCGAGCCAAAAAGAGTCTTTTATTATAATATCCATTTGAATAGAACTTCTTATAAAATATCTAAATTTTATATCTTGCACTAAATCCGAAATCTATAATAATAATAATTTTTTTATATCCAAATATTCAAGCATTTTTTTAACGTGTATATAATAGATTATCTACTTTTATTACATTCATATATATATATTATATATATATCATATATTATGGGGTATAATTACATTTGCTATATATAAGTTTGTTATATATACTATTTGTATATGCATATAATTATAAAATTTGAAATAAAAATTGGCTTATATATCTTTGGTTTTTGTTTATTTTTTTTTTTTTTAAAAAGCGTTATAATAATTTTAGCAATAATATTTTATACTTAACTTATATATATATATATATTAAAATTGTTTTGTTAATATCAAATATTTCACATAATTATTTTTTAATAATTTTTTTTTAATGAGTAAATGTCTGGTAATATTACAAATTTAGCACTCTTTCACATATATATCATGTTGATATATATAATTATATATATATATATATATATATATATATATATATATATATATATATATATTTTAAATGATAAGAAAATGGAAAAACAAAAATTTCTTTTAACAATATTGTCAGCAAAAATAATTTATGGCCTTTTGTTATATATTATATATTTTATTATATATTTTTAGTACTTAAATTAAATAATATTATTGGAATAATAATTATCTTATATATTGGCATGAAATTAATTGTTTTTTATTTATTATTATATATGGACTTTTTGTATACACACATAATCATAATAATTTTTTTATTTTCATAAGAATTTTATATTAAGAGAAAAAAATATACAATATTTTTTCTCTGTGTATATTAAAGAAATTGCTTTCATTTTCTTGTTTTGTAGTTAAAAAAAAGAAATTATTTTATTTTATATTAAAAAAATTATTAATAAAAGATCACAATATTGCACTTTAATATTTTAATTTTTATTTAGTATAGCTGCGATATTTTGTCCAGTATAATAAAAATAGAACAATTTTTTTTTTTACATATAAAATTTATAAGACGGCTGACATAAAAGTGTTATATTTTTTTTTTTTTAAAGTGTCCTGGTTTTTTTTGCTCTCCTTTTTTTTAGTTCTGATTATTTTATAATGTATAGACCGATTAAATATTAAAATTATTATTTACATAATTATCTTATATTATAATTTAAGATTTAATACAAAAAAAAACAATAAAAAAAACTTGGAAACTTAATTAAAATAATTTTATTTTAATTTTATATTTGCTGAAGAAAACATTTTTTTTTTACTGCTTATATGTGTTGTATTTTTGTTGTATAGTACCGAAATAAAGACAGAAGAAAAAAAAATTTTTTTTTTTAACAATAATTATGCATTTTTTATTGTCAATTCTGAATATTCTTCTACCTTTTCTATTCTGATAAGAAATATAAACTGAGCATGTCCCAAAAAAACATAATTATTATTTTGTAATTTTCAATAATATTCTTATAATATTAAGCGACATCTGTATTTTAATAGAAAAATAACATACAGAATGATAAGAAGAAAATTAAGTTCCGAATATGAATGGCAGGCTAATAATTTTTAACTATTTGTGCGGCATCTTTATGGTCTTTATGAATAAATTAAATTAATTTTATTGAATAAGGTAGCGACATCTAAACAGTTTTATGTGAAATAAGTTAATTATGTATTGTGTATGCAATTTTAATTATTGAAATGAAAAATAGGATTGCTTTGTTATAGGCTGTGTTAATTTAGTAAATTCTATCGTAAGCTCGTCACCTTCCTAGTTGAACCCAATGATGCAAGAGTCTATGGCATAGTTAGACATTTTAGGTTGTGTTAATTCAGTAAATTGCACAGTAAATTCTCGTCATTCACCTGGTATAATCTAATGTCGTATGAAACTGAGGCGTGGTTATCTTGAATATTATGTACCGGAGTTATAATCATACTCGGAGTGAAGTAGGAGCAAAAAAAAAATTAGTATATTAGGTGAAAATGACCCATTATGTATGTATGTATGAAATATTGAAATTATTGTTAAAAATTTAATTAAAAAATTTAATTATAAAATTTTACTAGTATATAAGCTAGATTTACAATAAAATGTCATTTTCTACGATTTCGGCTTTGTAAATTTATTTTAACTAGAAATTTGCATAATATTTTGTTTTTGCTTTAACAGATTAAATTCCCTGGTGATCACTGGTGGTAACATAAAAATAAAATTTTCGTAAGTACCAATAAATCGCCGCCAGGCAAATTTAAAATGATTCATAGTTAATTTTTAATACCACCAATCGTGGTAGATTGATTAAGGTTAGTAGCAGTTATATTTTAACAGCTTTGTAGCATTATTTGTTGTATACCTAATGTATTTTAACAGTTATTAAAGCAAACTGTACATTTTTGAGTAAAAATAAATTAGTATTTTAAATATTTTGTATTTCTGATCTAGTAGTGAAAAAAATTAAAAAAAAAATTCTAGAATTTTTCAAAATTTAAAAAAGTATGTAATTTTTTTTTTTAAAAAATGTCAAATTCTTAATGACAATAAAATTATTAAAAAAAAAAATTAAAAATTGTAAATTTATTAATTTTAAAATCAAAATTTCTAGTGAATTTTAATGTCTTCAAATCTGCTATTAAAATTGAGATTTTTATACAAAATTGATCGCTAACATAATGTCGCCAGAGTGACAGTATAACAGTTTTTGTTCAACATTGAAAAATACCAAATTTCGATTAAAAATAACCACCTTCTTAGAAGACAACACCAATGTTCGCCGTTATTTGATCTGAGAACTAGAGTCAACTAGGCAAAAGGTAAAGGTAAGCGGAACCTTTTTCTAATTATTCTATAAAAAGTTACTGTTTACTTGCTTTATATTATTTGCAACTAGCCTTGTAACATTGTAACAAAATCTTAATGTTCTATAATTAGAATTCTTTCTTTCAAAGAATTTTCGGAAACATTTTGTTATAAGGTTGAATTAATTTAAGAATTACACAAATTTTAATTTTAATTTTCGAGTCTTTTGGGATTGCATCAAGAAACATTTGACCATTAGTACAACATAAAGTCAAGTAACAAAAGTAGCATGGCTTTATTAGAATTCAGTCCTTTTGCACAAAAAAAAAATTAAACAACACGTGCCAGGATCAAAAATTGAAAACAAATGGCACGATACAATTTTAATTATTGTCCTATTAATAGAATCTTTAAAAAATATTTCTTTCTTCTTTACAATATTTCTTTTCTTTCAACATAAATTCAAATTGGGAAACATTTTTATTACAATATAACAAAAAAATCTGTTCGGCAAGCAAAAAAAAAAAACAGCCTAGTTATCTTCCATATCAAGGACACAATCATGTATAAAATTAAAACGCAACAAAATTTTCAATTTTACCCCTAAATATTAAAGACATAAATTAGGTATAGTATAGATATAGACCTACAAAGGCGCACATCCCTATATTATAAAAGATAAACAGCTGCGCAATTTTTAACCAGTTGTTTTTTTTTTCTTTCTTGCTTATTGTATTGGGCAACAGCGAAACAAAAATGTGATTTCAATTTCTATACCATTCCGTTTATATTTACTTATATACAATTATAATTACTGGTATAAATGTGTGAATTGTGTGTTCGTGTATGCACTAATATTGTACTTTTGCAAAATATTCCAAAAATTCCAAATAAAAAATATAAATACCTAACTCTTATACTTATACATTCAAAATATTATCCGGTTTAGTTTTGTCAATATCGGTTAATAATTTTACTTGTTTTTATATTGTTGTTTCCTTTTATCATAACCTTCCATTTCCCCATAATAGTAACAAGAGAACTATAATAATATACATACTCACATATGCATGTATGTATGGTGTTAAAGTAACTAAAACGAAAGCTGATCGCAATAGCAAAACAAAAAAAAAACTCAAAAATCCAATAATGAATTCAAGAGATTAAATCTGAGTATGCCATTCGGAAATCGGAACACGAAGGTATTGAATTAAAAAAAAAAATGGAGAGATAATGAATAAAAGTGAGAGAACGAAATAGTGATTAGGGAAAAACAATATTATTATTTTTAATATGTAGTATAATTACAAAATGAATGCAAATTGTGTAGATTTTGATACAAATTTCATTCTTCAAATGTGAATTCATTTATACGTCGCTTTAAGATGGTATACTTTTGAAAACGCTCTCATTTCCCCCATGAAACTTCTCTCATAAAGGTTTTAGATATTACTCGTATTTTATTCCATTTTAAAATTGTAAATCTAGTTTTACGTTATGTTTTTTAAGAATAAAATGACATTTTCAAAAACTCCGCAAAAAATACAGAAAATGAGAAAAATTCAAAATTTCTGCATAAAATATATGCGCGCGTATTACTTGTCATTATTGGGATGAAGAATCAAGTCCAAAATAAAGAGTCAATTGCCAGATTATAATCAAATTGACAATAATATTGAATGACAGTCTGTCAATGCACCATCGAATCAATAAATTTCTCTATTTCCTTCATTGATATACTATTTTTATATATTACATGATATTTATTTAAATCTACAAAAATAAGTAAATTTGGTTATACAATCTACGAATTAACTAACTATTCAGAAAATTGTTCTGCGAGAGTATCAAAATTTACAATAAGTGCACTCACTAGTTTATTCTGAATTTAATAAAAGGAGAGAGAATTCAATAAAACTAAAGAGGTGAAAAAGACAATAATGAAATTTTTTGATGGTATTGAGCTGCTATTCCAAATGACCGTCAAACAAACAAACCAAAACAAATAAAAATCACTTAGAAACATATTGGCACTGATTAAGACTGGATAAATTTTTGAAATTTTAGCAATTCTCTCAATGAATTTTGAGTGAAAAATTTAAACGACAAAAAAAAAATATTTAAAAAAAAAAGCAAGAGAGATTTGAGTAATATTGAGAATTTCATAAAATAAAGGTGAGAAAAATGAGAAAACATGATCACATGAGAAAACAATGCAATGCAATAAAATTATACACCAAACCAAATATACTGCCGAAAAATGCTTATTCATAGGTAAATAATAATTTATGCTGATTTAAAAAAAAAACCAGGTGATTTCTGTTTTTTTACTCACATATATGTAGGTGAATATACTTACCTACATACTTCTATGTGTATAACGAAAAGTTCATAATATTGGTCAGTGGTGTATTTCTGTTTCGCATGTTATTGACCGACGACTTTTCAAGAAATTTTTTCAAAAAATTGTTTCAAGAGTATTTGAAAACTAGAATAAATTTTTGTTTGCTCATACTTGAAGGTCTGTAAAGCAGTACACGATTTCGTTTCGTATATAACAGTTTCCAATTTAAATATTTTAATTTATTCGTGGTCAAGAGCTTCCTATATAAAATGTTTACTTAAGTATAATACTTACAAATTTTGAAATATACTCTCCGATTCTATAAGAGAAATTAGAAAAATTTTTTAAATAAGCTCACTGGCAGAAATGAAAAACTGCACTTTTTGAACTTCTTGTTTCATATTAAAATTTTTCGGCAAAATTTACGAGTACCTTCCTTTAAACCATGTCTGTCCGACTAATGGTTTATAAAACATAAAGCTTCATTACAAAGCCTTATAAAAATAAATAAGATCAAAGGTCTTGAATGATTATGATTTATTATGAATGATGAATGTTTATGATTTATTTTTATTGTATGATTATGATATTTTGATCACAAATTAAAAATATAATCAAACAAATTTTTAATGAATCATGAATAATAATGATTACTTAAGCCACTCGGATGGGGACGCACAATAGATCGTTATATGTGGTCGCGGTGCACTGTTGCCCCTGTTGTACAAATCTAAAAATCTAAGCCCGTTATATGCATATATCCACGTCAGACCATAATATCATAGTACTCGAAATCTTCTCATAATTTATACATATTTATTTTTTTTAAAGCACAGTTAGTAGGAACAACAGAAAACTGAAAAAATACAACACTGATACTGATATCAAGTATTAGAGTAAGAGAACGAGAACAATTTTTATAAAATTCAGTAATCAGTATTTGCACCGATACGTACAATGCATAAGTATTAGTGAATTCAGGTATAAAATTTAGTCATAAGCAGTGTTCCCACTCGGTAAAAACAAAATGTATCCAATTTCGAGAAAAAAATGTATCCAAAATGTATCCAACCTCGTAAAATAGCATTATTATAATAAGTCGTCTTATTTTGTACAAATTAACCCATAATTAATATTAATTTGCTTTATTCCACAATATGAGTTTTGTTATTTATAGTAAATTCTTTAAGAAATCACATACAACTTCTATTATATTTTAAATGTTAAGGTCAGAAAAAATATATGCATATATGCCTTCTGTAGTTGTTGAACTATGCGGTAAAGACGATTGACCATGAAAACGGACAAATTTGCTTAGAATAGTCAGCAAATAACATTTATTGGAGATAAAGCAACTTCGCGGTTTAATATTAGCAGCATTTCAACTGTTTTGTAATATTTATTTAGTGTTTGAAAAAAAATGTATCCATATTTCAGCAAAATTTTAAAATGTAGCCAATTTCGGCATTTTAGCAGATTTGAGTATCTTTGTATCCAAGCTCAAATTTAAAGCAAAAATGTATCCAAATGGATACAATTGTATCCAAGTGGGAACGCTGGTCATAAGTATATCGTACATATAACAAAAATAAAAACGATCGTAAGAATAAGAAAAACAGAAAAGAGGAGAGAGGAGAATAATCATTATTTGTGATTTGTGAATTATAAAAATATCACCTTTTTCAACATTCGCATCGGATTCACAAAACAAACATACTTTAAAACGCTTATAAAAAAAAAATCCGCAATTTAAAATTCTGAATTTGAAATCCAGGTGAATTTACTGAGAGCGCTATGAAGAGAAAAAAGAGAGAGAGAGAACTTATTTGTGATGAGAGAATACGAAAAGAGAGATTTTTGTTTTTGTAAAATTCATTTTTGTAATTTCATTTTTTGTATTAATGAAAATGTTAACGAAAATCCAGAAACAATAATGAGAAAAAATAAAAATAGAAAAAACGAAATTAGTAAAATCAGTAAAAATTAAAAGTAAAGTTGGTTATAAATAATTAGTTAAGAAATGGACGTCATAAGAATCGGTTGTTTATCAAAAATATTAAACGAATTTTAAAAAAAAAATTTAACGTGATCGCGGATTTTTTTTTCTTTTCTTATTTTTATTTTTTTTTTTACTTGAAAACATTTTATTTATGTGTTTTTTTTCTGTTTAATTCATGCAAATTCTAATTAATCAGTTTCTTGTTAAAGAATATTGAATCAGTTGGGAAATTTTTTTTTTCTTAAAAAATAAAATTGTTGTAACAAAAATTTTAAACTGTTAAAATAAAAAATAAATTGTTAATTTAATAAAAAAAAAATTTCAAATAAAAAAAAATCGAGTTTAATTTTATTAATTTTTTCATTAATTTTTGAAAAAAATATTAAAAATTTTTTAAATGTTTTTTTAATAAAAAATAATTTTTTATAATTTTTTACGATCAAAAATGCTATTATACAATTTATATTTTATAGCATAATTACAAAAATTTTCGTGAATTTTTTTTTTAATTTCTGATTTAAATTGAAATTATAAAAAAAAAAAATTTAAATTATAACACTTTTAAAAAAAAAATAATTGGTATATTTGTGAAATCTAAAAAAAAAAATAATAAAATTTTAGAATTTTCGGGATTGATCAGTCATTTTGGATATTTTATTTTTATTAATACCGTTTCATATTAATTAATTAAAGAGACCCTGTCTAATAAAGGTATTTTCTATTAATTAAAGAACAGACTAAGGAGACCGCAAATATATGGGACTCAATTCAGAATATAGTAAAATAAATGTATATAGTCACATCACAAGGAATTCAGAAGAACGGAAATAATAAATACGATATTTAAAAAGGTATGTAACAAATTTTAAAATATTTAGAAATAAATTAAAATAATAATGATCGTGATGAATAATAATAATTATTAATATTAATTAATATATAATTAAACACCGTTAAGGTTAATTTATTTTTAAATATAAATATACCTATATATATCAGAGTGTATAACAGTTTATTACTAGATATATATATACATATATATATGAAAAATGAATCTGATTTTGATTTCCTCCGGTTTTCCTTTCTAATGCCATTAATTATTGTAAATAAAAACTCTTATAACCTATGAATATATTTATACCTTAACTGTTATATATATTATAGGTGATAGGATATATATACTTATAAGTGATTTTTCTTTTTTGATATCACATAAATTATTATACAAATTTTCGATTCTTTTTTAATTATTTTGTTACACGCAATCATTAATTTTTATTTTAATTATTTAATTAAATATTAATTTAAAAAAAAAAAATAAAGAAATTTTTTTTTTTTCAATAAATTTTTATTTTGTTTTTTGGACTTTTCTTATAAGTATATATACGTACAATATAAAAATTTATAACCTAAAAAAAAAATGATAGTAACAAAATTTAATTGTTATACTAGTGTATATATATACATATATAACAAAATTTACGCTACAAAAATTATAATCTAGTATATAAGAAAATGCAGAAAATATAGAAAAAAAAAAAATATTGTGTATATTTTTAATCATTGATTTCATTCGATCTATATAAAATTACTTTACTTATTTATTCCCTCTTCTATACGGTAACAAAATATCAGTAATTATATATTTACACAGATATATTGTGTTATACATATATATTACAGGTATATATACTCGTAGTTACGCTATATAAGTGGTATGATATTACGCAGTAGGAAATATGAACCAAAAAAAAAACATACATAAGTAAAAACAAAATAATTTATTTCCGATATTTTTCAAAATTTTAATACTCGTATAAATAATGGGAGCGTATATATGAATATACGTTTTAAGATTGTATAACAGTTGCATTTTGTCCTGATTTGTTTGGAAATATAGTTTGAGCGTTGGTTTAACATTGAGATTCTTATTCTATAGAAATATATTTCCAAACATATAAACTTTTCAGATGTAAAGCACTTTTAAATATACCAGCCTGTTTCAGAGAGAAGTTGAGAAGGTAACTTGCATACATTTATAACACACAATGCATCTATTCTGCCTTATGTAAAAGAAATAGAAATATCAAATACGTAATAAGTATAATTAAATTAACAAAATAATATTTTTACTTTCGTATAACAGAATTCCCATATAAAATTAAAGTGTTTCATTCAAACTATATTCACAAAATACACCGAAATAGTTTAAACTGTTATATAATCTCTTTAATTTTACATAATAATGCGAACTATACTTCGTTTCATATTAATTAATTCGGGTAGTTATTTATGAAAACTAATTTATTTACAGCTCATTACAGTTAATTTCACCAAATACTTTATTGTAATAATTTATTGTCAATATCAAAAGTATGATTGAGTTCATTTCCATGATTACAACTGCAGTTTCAGTCCATTGTTTCAGCTATAGGACTTTAGTTCTATTGCAGTGTAGTTCTAAGTACCAACTAGAATTAGAACAATATTATTTTATTTATTTCAAAATATCAAATTGTTATAATCTAAAAATAATATCCTTTTAATATAACAGATTTTTCTGTTCTATAAATTTTTTTTTTTTTTTGTTCTTTTATAATTTTCAAAACTAAAATTAACTTGTTATTTAAAATATTGTGTTCGATTTGAACACAATATGCTAAATAACAATATGTCAGTGTGTTTGTAACTTGAGTTAATTAGATTTAATCGCCATATTACTTATAAATTTTCTGCCATGACTGTGTATATAAATAGAATTTGTTATAATCTTCTTTTTTAAGTATTAAAAGTATAATATTCTTAGAGATGAATCATTAAGAAAATATTTTAAAAGCTGTGTATTACAAAAAAAAATATTATTATTGCGTCTTATCTTCTATAGTATAAAACTTAAATAATACTTACTTATACTAAAAGATAAATTAGTTTTATATTGTGTTAGAATGTTAAAAATATTAAATATAACAAAAATATTGTATTATGAAGAGCAAACTATTCTAAAATTTATTTTTGATTAACAATTTAATTAACACAATTAAAAAATATTTAATTTTTTTTTTTCGTATTAAAATGTTGTATAAATAAATAAAAATATACAACATTAAGTATGTATGTATGTAAACTGAAATATGTTAAGAATTAGTGAAACATGGTAAATTGTTTATTTTAAAAAAATTTTTATTTACATAATAAATTTAATAATATTATTTAACAACCTGTGCTATTTATTTGTTAGTTATTAGTTTAATACATGATCGTTTACTTATACTTGTATACGATCGTGTATACCAGTTTATCAAATGTCACACGTTTTGTAAATTATAATATTATAGTATTCTCTGTATTTCTACAGTGTTGTGTATAAGAAGTAAATTATTCGTATAGTATATAAGTTTAAGTAACAAGTATGTGTACCCAGTATACAAAGTTTAAAGGTTTCAATGTTAAATCAATTATTTTCTAATTATAATAGAATTTACTTATACGAGTATATAAATTAATTTTGCAGTATAATATTAATTAAGATTTCGAGAAATTAAAAAAAAAAATTATAAGAGTATTTTGTTGTATACAATAATCTATATTTAATTATATAAGAATTTATAAAAAATATTTATAAATAAAATACAGAAGATTTTTTTGCATAAAAACTGTTATACTCATATACAAAAGAGTTAAATATATTAAAAATTTTTTAAGAATGGGCACAAGTTTCGGATATAATTTGATTTATATGATTTCTTTTAGAAATATTCAAAATTTATTTAGATGTATAACAGTTACTGCTTTTATATGTAAATATTTACGCTTTCATTTGTCGCGAATGAATACAGTTGTAGAATCTAATTGAGTATAAGGCAGACTAGTATATAATAGCAAATTTCTGTGGTATCCTCTGTAGCATCTTCATTTCTACTACACTTCTCATAATAAACTATTGGCAAATACTCTACAACCCTATGAATTAAGGATAAAAATATAACTTTATATAATTAATTGAAGTATAGGAAATGCTTAATTAATTATTAATATTAAGTGAATGCATAAAAATAGCAAAAGAGTCATCAAAAACCCGAATTTTTGTTTTCTGTACTTTCTTTCCTTTAGATATCAGATATTTGTACACCTTTTCGGTATCAGATTTCAAACCGCGTATTTACTGCAATAAAAATTTATTTACCTTTTTCTTCTTCTGTTTTTTTTTTTTCGTTTAATGATTTTTAATGTACGTATAATAATATTTATACCTATATATCACTGCATATATATGTAAATCTACCTTTGTTGCTGTATACATGATATACTTATGGTACGTACCTACATAACACATTTATTATACAAATCTACACATATTATACTATTATATTAATTTTATACATACATTTTTTGTTATGTAAAAAAAATGTAGATGTATGTAAATAGATATATGAAAAAAATTAAAGAGATCATACGAGTTTATAATGGCTTTCCTATAATAACTCTGTCGGTATTTGAAAATGATAATAAGAAGTAAACAGAAACAGAAGCTTAAAACAAGAAGAGAAAAATGAAATAAAAATAGTTACAAAAAAAAATTAACCTCATAAAAAAAAAAAAATAATTTTTTCTTGTGTTTATTTCTTGTATTTATGCACTGCATCATATCGGACAATATCGTTTCATTTCAGATGTTCGGAACCGACCAAATAAACCTTAAGGTTCAAAATCATCAAAACACAAATATTAATGTTATATGGAATTAAATTGTTGGATTAGTTGCAAATTGTACGTAATTGTGCAAATTGTACGTAATTGTTCGGAAGCAAGGTTGCCACATCTCTCGTAATTACCTAATGCCGGGTGCCAAATTGGCAAAATTGTTTCTAACAAGACTAATTAATTAGAAATTGTTGTTCCCTTTTCTTTGATGGATTTCTGGTCGGAATGTTACAACACAAGTCAGAATAAGAAGAACTGTAATAAACGTTTAAAGCTGGCTAGAGAGCTTGTGAAACGAAACGTTTTCTTAGCTATTCCAGTCTCTAGTATGGATTTTTATGGATTTTTCATGGATTTTATTAGTGTTTTTATGGATTTTTCGCATTACGCGATCAAAACCGTAAAAGCAAATCCGATGCGACATCAAAAAAAGAACCTACCGGCAGTGATGTAGTCAGTAGTAAATATAAAATTTATTTGATTTCAAAATTTACCATTGTATAATATAACCGTCCACAGAAGCTTTTGTCTCTTTCTAGTATATGACATGAGAATTTGTCAAAATAACAATACCTTCATCTGTCAAATCGCTGTTGTTCTTCATTTTATTACCTCCAATCATCCGTTAAGTTGAAAAAAAAATTCTTGTATACAAAAATAACTTGTTCTGCAAATTACTAATAAAAAATTATGTTTACAGCACCTCTACAATTAATTTCACCTCTATTATTCATAAATTTTTCCTAATTTTCAATTTCGAAATCATTTTAAAACTCATTGTATCAAAATGACATTCAATTAAACGGAAGTGACATACAACTTAATCATTAACAAGGGGGCCATGTATGTATGAATATACATTACTCTCTATTGATCATTATTTTAAATTTGAAACATGCAATTCTAAATTAAGAAACCAGAAAAGCAAGTATAACACTGATGTCGATGAAATACTCTCATATTGCCTCACAAAATACATTCTACATTCCGACTATAATAAAATTTATTAGTTTACTTGCCATATTTTAAATAAATGCAGGTAAAAAAAAATAATTGTAATATAATAGTAGAAAGATAGAAAAGTATGTATGTAAAAAAAAAAAGAGGAGAAACAAAAAAAAAAGAAACATAATATTAAAAAATGCGTTTT